CATCATTCTCAGCAAACTATCGCAAGGACAGAAAACCAAACACCACATGTTCTCACTCACAGGTGGGAACTGAACAATGAGATCACTTGGACACAGGGCGGGGAACATCACACACTGGGGCCTGTCGTAGGGTGGGGAGATGGGGGAGGGATAGTATTAGGAGAAATACCTAATGCAAATGGTGAGTTAATGGGTGCAGCAAACCAATATGGCACATGTATACATATGTAACAAACCTGCGTGTTGTACACATGTACCCTAGAACTTAAAGTATATTAAAAAATTTAAATATTAAAATATTCTAACAAATCCTGAGCAATATATTAAAGAAATGAGTTGGCTGTAAATACATGGATTTCTGAGTTCTGTATTCCATTGGTCTACATCTGTTTTCATGACAGTGCCATGCTGTTTTGGTTACTATAGCTTTGTGGTAGTATATTTTGAAGTCAGGTAATATACCTCCAACTTTGTTCTTTTTGCTCAAAATTGGGCTATTTGGGATCTTTTGTGGTTCTATACAAATCTTAGGATTGTTTTTCTATTTCTGTGAAGAATGTCATTGATGTTTTGATAGGGATTGCATTGAATCTGTAGATTGCTTTGGGTAGGATGGTCATTTTAACAACATTCTTCTAATCCATGAGCATTAGATGTCTCCATTTTTATGTACCCTCTTCAATTTTTTTCGATATTCTGTGGTTTTTACTGTAGATATTTCTTACCTCCTTAGTTAAATGTATTTCTAGGTACTTTTTTGCAGCTATTATAAAGGACAATGCTTTCTTTTTCAGCTAGTTCATTTTTGGTGTGTAGAAAGGCTACTGTTTTGTATGTTGATTTTTGCATCATACTGAGTTCATTTATTATGCAAAAACTTGCATCATACTGAAAAATTTATCCAAACATCAACATTTTTTGTATGTTGATTCTGCAACTTCACTGAATTCATTTATCAGTTCTCGGTCTTTTGGTGGAGTCTGTAGGCTTTTTTAAATGTAAGATTATGTTGCCTGCAAACAAGAACAATTTGACTTCTTCTCCAAGTTTGATGCCCTTTCTTTTTCTTCCCTAATTGCTCGGCTAGGACTTCCAGTACTGTGTTAAATAGGAGTGGTAGAAGTAGGCACCGTGTGTACCAGTTCTCAGAGGAAAGGCTTTCTTCTTTTCCACATTCAGTATAATGCTAGCTGTGGGTTTGTCATACATGGCCTTTATTGTTCTGAGTTATGCTGCTTCTGTGTTTTACCATAAAGGGATGTTGAATTTTTTTTCTTTATTCATCTTTTTTATATATACTTTAAGTTCTAGGATACATGTGTGCAATGTGCAGGTTTGTTTCATATGTATACGTGTGCCATGTTGGTTTGCTGCACTCATTAACTTGTCATTTACATTAGGTGTATCTCCTAATGCTATCCCTCCCCGCTTCCCCTACCCCACGACAGGCCCCGGTGTGTGATGTTTCCCTTCCTGTGTTCAAGTATTCTCATTGTTCAATTCCCA